TTGACTATCATTTTGGGGCATGCTTTCTATTAATCTTGCCATTAATAGTGAATTATTAAATGAAGCCTCAAATCAGATTAATACTAGTACAACAACATGAGTATATTTTCAGACCACTTTCACAATGTGAATCTCTAGCAGATTCTCCAAAGAAATCAAGCACTTTCTCAAAACAGAAACTAGATAGAAATTAGATAATTGAGAAAATAATTTCACTTGAAGGTCTTTTTTATTCCTGCTCTTTTGCAAATAGGCTTGTTTGAATATGGATGTCATCAATCTATTTTTAGATAATTTTGCTGATATATTATTTATAATATGGTGCACTAACCATAATAAAAGTAAGTGGGCCTTACATTTCATTATCTTTTCTTTTGTAAGGAAAGGCTTAATATTTAATAAGATATATGAATTCAAAACAACTAAATTTTTCCTAAATTAATAAATTCTATAATTACAAATGGAACTTTTTGTGTGATTCTTTACATCTATATTTTCATTGCCTAACTTCTTAGTAACTGGGCCCTTAAAGACATGTTCAGTAATTTCATTGTTCTGCTTTCCCTGTAAAAGGTGACAGTATCATTTTAAAAAAAAATCTTTTCTCCTATAATTTTTGTAGTGGTCCATAGTTACGAGTGAATGACTGCTTTGTGGGCCTTCTCAGTTTGTAGTCAAAAGGCTGCATTTTTCTATAGAATGAAGGTAATCCAGGCAGTGTGCTAGTATAACAGAGCAGCCTGTGGGAAAACTTGGGCCCTTGATCATTTTCTTTCTAGGTGAGGTCCTTCCAAAATAAAGTTGAGGGAAAACAAGGAAAGTAGGGAGAGTGAACTGATTTTGTGGGTAGAAGACTTTGGTTTACAAGACTGTCCCTTTAGCATTTTTATGTGCTCCAAAATCCCATAAAATTTTATTTCCTAAAATGGAGCAACAATATCAACTCTTGTCCTTCCCCAAAAAAGTTTTTCAATGGCTTGAAATTTCTGTTTTCTACCCTGTTACCCAGATCAATGTCTTACTCTGTAAGTGAATGTTAATTAATTCATGTTATTTTCCTAACAGGAAGTGACAGACAACATGAGCAATGGAGGACCACCACTGATATTTAATGGAAGAGTATAATCAATGTTTTTAGGATGTTCATGAGGCAAGGAGATATCAAGGGACTAGGAGATAAGATTAAAACCGTTCTTGCATTTGCTTTTCTTTCTCCTGAGCATCCACTAAAATTATTCTTCATCAATTTTGTCTCACTTACTCTCTAGCCTTTTTTATGCAGTGAAAACCTTTCTAGAAATGCTCTAGTTTGGTCATTTCAACAGACTTTACAGATTGTTTTGAAGAAGAATTTTCAGGAGAAATAAATAAATAAAACAGAAATAAAAGTTATATTCTACACAAACATTTGGCTAGCATGAGTATTAGATTTGTAATTACATGTTTCATTTTGAGCAATTAAAAAGTGCAAATAACAAAAAATAACAATAACTTATTGATGTCTTTGTTTTGAAAGACCATGGCTTCAAGAATGCCACAAATCAAAACCTCAGCAATGCCTTGTTACAAAAACATTGTAATTATTTTCGATTTGTGAATGAACTATGTTTCATAATTTATTTGTAAATTATAAAAACCCAAAAACATAAAGAAGAGAATTTTTTAGAAAGACAATATTAATCTGTATGATATTTTTGCATTTTTGCACAAGACTGAAAAGTTGTAAGTAAATACCATCTAAGAGAAATAAATGTTTTGATCATACTGTGCAGATTAATCTACATGTTCACAAATGAGTTAATAAAGTATGTGTGTGTGTATATACTGTAAATACAGAACATATATACAGCATATATTTATAGCTACATGAATGTATATAGATAGTAGAAAAGAAATTGTGATGCTGTGGGGTATTTCAACAGAAATGGCAAGGCAATTGCTCAAGGTTTTTCTATGCCCACAAAAATCACAAATTTAATTT